CTGCATTTTTTTCGGGGGCGATTTTCGAAAATAGGAAAGGGGGGGGGTTTCAAGCCATTCGGGAAACAAGCAAATTTAGGGGGGGGGGGGGGGGGGGCGTGGTGACGGACGGTTGGGCGATTGCTGTTCGTACTCCTCAAATTGGTAAAAAAAAACGTATGTGTGTTTCTTTGTAAGGATTTAATTTATTATTAAGGAATAATAAATACACACACAGAAAGACGACCCATTATTATGTTTGATTTTGTTTTTTGGTCGACTACACGACGGGACACCTACTTCAAAACTGCGGCGTAACTCACGAGGATTGTTGCCGCATCGCTCTTGCGCCGGCCTTAGGGGGAACCCTCATCTTCGTCCCGATGTACAGCAAAGCCTGCTTCTGCGTGAACACGCCCACGGACTGCGAGTCCTCAAGACTGGCCATGAAGGCGTTCATGATATCCGGCTCGGACCCCACCTGAAAACACACACAAGGCGGCACGCAGCATGCAATGCATGTCCACGGGGGGTTATGTGCACGACCAGTGGTGCTGCTACACCCGTTTCGAGTACATGATTCCGCCGCATTCTGTGCGGATGCAATCTTTAATTTCTCGATTCTTCCGGTTCGTTTAGCAACAACGTCGGATCACTTTGTTCCTATCGTACGGGCGCAAGTACGCACGTAAGGAGGTATTTAGTATTTGGTTCTTCTATAATAGAACCAGTGACGGGGGAGAACAGTCGACCGAGTTATCAGCTGCGTGCACCCCAGCCTCGTTATTAGAGCAAGCCCGAAACGTCTACTCTTTTGGTGCCCTTGTGCCGAGGATTGAATGCAGCTGCTCTCAAGTTCACGGGAAAACAGTCCCCAAGCACGCCGCCGCGTGTGTCAGGCACGTGGCGCATTGGACATACACCCCGAGGTATGCACAGGAATCGTAACTTCCCTAGGGGACAGCGATATCGGGCCGTTACTGCTGCTAAGCGTCTGGAGCTGGTGTCTTTACACTAAGTAAGTTTCCGAGGGAAAAAAAGGGGGAGGCTGTTACCAGAGCAAGGGCGTGGAGGCAGAGAGGGACACAGCCACACCGGCTCACGAAACAAAGTAACCGCCAATTGACGACAAGCCACCTACATGTAACGGCGTACTGCGCAGTACGTGCGGCGAAATCTCGCAAGCACATAAGCCGCAACATCTCGCTAAACTGCACGTAACCGCCTGCTACTGCTTACGGTACGTACGGTACGGTACGGTACGGTACAGTGCGGTGCGGTGCGGCAACGGTAACGGTAACGGTAACGGTAACGGTAACGGTGCGGTACGGTACGGCAACTCACAAGCTGGACAATCTCCTGGTCGCTTGTGGCCCCCATCGCCCTGAGGATGACCACTATCGGCACGTCGTCCCCCAGGCTGTTGTGCTTCATGTACACCTTCCCGTTTTTCATGTGGATGTTGCATCGGGACCTTGCGGCAGAGAGCACCACCACCAACGCCGACACCGGCGGCGGCAGCAGCAACGGACGCAGTAGCAGCGGCAGGGGCCAAAAAAAGGACGCCAAATTACCACCCGTGCGAAAAAGAAAAGATTTGCGCGTGCGTCTGGGTGTGGGATCGAACCTTGCTCGCTACACCAAAGGTGCGGCGCAGGGTCAGGCTTTTTCATTTCACCCTTTTATTCCGTCACATCTACTCGACACGACACACGGGGGTTCGAAAGTCCATGGTACACAAGTACAAGGCACGACAGACGCCTCCCCCTTTTCCACCGATCGGACTAACGTAGGACCGCCACGTTTGATACCCCACACACTGCTGCTGTAGTAAAACTGAGGACTTGCCATTCCTCTCCCATAGAGGTGTGTGTGCTGTGCATGGATGATGGTACGCGCGGAGAGAGAGAGAGAGAGACGGAAAGAGACACGCACAGACAGACAGATAGAGAGATAGGCAGAGAGAAGGGGGAGAGGGGGGGGGCTCTCTCCGTGTCCGCAGTTTCCGGCGGTCTCCGCTCTGAACAAGTGTCCGTTGCCCTCTGGGGTTTTCGGGTCCATCCTTTTATCATGCGCGATCTACATATCTACCGTAACCTCCTTCAACTTACTTTCTCTCGTGCGTGGAGGATGTGATGGCGGCGGAGATGTTCTTCTTCCCGTCGTACTCGATGATCACTCGATTCTTCGACAGCTGCTCCTGCATCAGGATCACCTAAAGCCGCCGGCGTCAAGACAGCGAGCGACAGCGCCAACGATGACAACAACCGTTTGACAACCTCGGCCAACAGAACCATATGACAACAGCAACGGTTCAACATCGGCAACAGCACGCAGCAATGTTTTTAAAACAGAGCAAACCAGGATAACCGCCAAAACGGGGTCCG